GGTCCCATTTATTAATTTCCGTAATTTTTAATTTGTAAATTTAAAATTTTTGAACCCTGCCATTTCCTCCGAATTCATACTTGATTACAATTCCTTAGGAGTTGTAGGGAGTAGGAATATTCTTCAGTGCCACCTTTTTGGCCTAACTTAGGCTGAGATATGATAAATATAAACGAATAACGAAGCGAAGGTCAAGGCCAATTAGCATTATAAATACACGCAAAGGCACGGATCTAGCACTCGGCGCAGCCAGCCAACGACTACCGGCACTGTACAGGAGCTGAGTCTAGGCTTGCTCATTCGTTCACGTCGACAATGTGGGTGCCTTTGCACACTAAACGACGCAGAGCTGAGGGCAGAAGATGCACAACAAAGATGGATGTGCATTCATCGGAGTGTCAGGTGTATAGAGGGGAAAGCAGAGAAGAGGAGTAGGGTTTTGAGAAGACATGTCATGCTTGGGGGAAGAACGTCATGGTCTGGAAAATTCGGATGAGTAGACCTCATTCGCTAACACCGTAAGCATGTGACGCAGTAGATGGTAGAAAGGCGGATATAGTGGTAAAATGTCTGTGGTCGTGGAGGCCTGTCAAAGGAGCAGAATCAATGGCACGTGATGCGTCGGTGGAGCTGTTGTAGCTTAGACATCGAGGTCCTACTCACCGACTTCTCATTCCTCCTTCACCAGATATTGTCACCTTAGACAGATTTTCATAAACATGGTCCTTCATCTCCTTTTTACTTCACCCTTGTCTCCACCATAAGATTAACGCTTGCTGACTAACACATAGTACTTTTTGTCAGTTCTTTACGTGCAGATATTTGATGTCTCTTTTCTCACTGCTTTTGTGTTTACACATCAACTCTTGCAAATCCTAGCCCCTAGTACAAGTGCGGGGAAATATAGGCCTTAGTAGGATATAGGTCCTTTCTTTTTGAATGGTTAGCTGAGGAAGGTCAAAGTGAAAGTGATTTTGAACTCATCCATAGACAGTGGATGTTGATTCCCCTGAAATTGTGCTACTCATACATTGTTGAAAGGAGTGATCTCTGTCGCGGCATGATTTAGGTGGTCTCGTCAGGGTCTAGAAGGTGGTCTCGATAGCCAGATGGCAGTGGTTATTGGTGGAGGAGAATGTGTTGCAGGCCAGTTGTGAGTGGAAGTGGGTATAGTTTGTCACTGAGAAGTTTACTGTGATGCAGAGTACAACTGTAATGTAGGTGTGGCGTAAGTGACTGTCCCCATTTAAAGGGTGGCAACCTGTTGGTCCTAATTGCTGCACCATCGTCACCGCCATTGATTTACTCATTGCCCGAAATGACGTAGTCAAATTTAAGGGCTCAAGTGCACATGTTACCAATGATAAGTACGGTGAGTAGTGCCAATACTGAAGTCCATCCTGTATGCGTTGAAATTATTCACAACCAAACAAATGGATTCCTTTTCTCATTTCTGAGCCCTCAGATAATGGTTCCCAACACCGGCCGACGGATAATGGGAAGAACAGACGAAACGAATTTGAAAAGCCTTGAAGACTACTCACGTATTCATGCCATGTTAAGGCAGATTAAATCAGCTTTGCCTGATGCCAAAGTAGATACTTCTCACAAACCAAGCAGCATTTGT